TTATTATTTTTCGATTTACTGTACATTTTTTTTTCTTCAAATTTTTTTTACCGCCCTGATGAATTGATAATCACTTTTCGTCAAAGGCCAGAATGAAAGAGCATAGCGAAGAATTTGATAAAATATTATGTATGAATAAGATTACAGGATAAAGACTTGATTCTGCAATATAACATAATTTATTAACAATATATATGTGCTTAATTATGGCAATAGAGAACATTTAAATGCTAAAATTTTGAATACTTTCTGGTATGATAATTACGAAAATATAGAAATATTCTATCCTGTAAGTAGAGATGGACTTATACATTATGCGCATTACATTATGCTAAACATAATGTCGCATAATGTAATGTAAGCATTTTAAAATTTAAAAGTCCATATAGAAAATATTATATAATTTTGTTTCAACTAAAATTAATGAAATATTATATTTCATATTAGGATTTTGTAATTTACCGCAATAGCGATATATCGCTACCCCTAGTTCAGTTAATTAGAATGCAAGATCGAGTGTAACGTGAATCGAAGCGTCTACAATTTTTTTAAAAAAATCAATTGTAACGCTTATGAAACCATATCTTGCGTCAAATCAAAAAAATTGTCTAACAAATTTTGGGTTAAAATCTATTCCTTATCGCCCTACCATAACCCAAGTCTTTCTACCCTAACCCAAGTCTAACCTTAACTTAATCTGACCCTAAGCTAATGGGTTATAATCTATTGTTTTGATTTCACATTACATCAGATCTTATAGGGTGCGATATACGTATCGCTACGACTGTAAATTACTAAATTCATGTATGGATATATATATATATACATATTTGAATATGTTATTGATATAATATATTTTTTTACTCAATGCATTCTTGGGACTTGCATACGTCACCAAAAAAATCTTCCCACCATCTCCTATTATTGCATAACAGAGCCAAAAAAAATAATAGACAACCCACTATAATGCCCCAAAAACAATACATTTTGTGAAAAATATTTTCGTTGTTAGCCTTTTTTTCCCCTTTTATATGACAAATAAATGCAATGACACTATTAAATGTCCATATAGAACAGATTACAGTAAGATATCGACTTCTGCAAAAAAATCCAATAGGAGGAGTATAATAAGCCATAAATACCGATAACCAAGGAAATATAATTGATACTAAACCAATAATTATAAACAAGGTTCGTCTAAGTTTTAGATCTGGTTCATTATCTTTTACACGTATTTTGTCATCTAACACAAGTTTCTTATTATTTATGTACTCTTGTAGCATATCTTCAGGGCTTTTTACTAATATTTTTCCACAAATTGATCTTTTATAGACCACCACAATTGTCCAAGCTAATAAGACTGAAATATACGGCCAATCAGTACATGCAGATGGGGAAAATATTCTTGTTATTCCTGATAACAAACCAACTATTATATAATAAGCAGAGACTAACGGTGATAGTCTTTCCAATATGCTAGCTTCCGCTATGCACTCTTTTATACATTCTTTCTGTGTTTCAGTAAGATCTGATATTGTTTTATAATGATAACCAAAAGGAATATTTTGTACTTTTTTTTCATCTTCATCAGTGATAAACCTTTCTGATGGGAGCCAATATCCAAAAATTGATACTTCTTCATTTTCTATAACTAACGTATAGAATAACCCAGTGAAAGGGCAAGAAAGACATCGTAATATCCATAAGAATTTTTTTTTAAACCCATTTACGGGCGAAGCACCAATTATGGCAATGGCCGGTAGGCATCCTAATACAAATTGCGGTATAGGACTTTGAAGTCTATGCATAAATCTTAATACCGGCCAGTCATCCATTTTTATTATTCAATTGCTCTCGTAGCTTGATAACAATAGTGATAATGATAGATTGAATTATAAAAAAATAGTCCTTTAGAATACTGTATGTTCAGTCGTAAAAAATGGCTACTTTTTTATTAAAAATTTAGTTCAAAAATTCTCATTAATACCGCTTTTTATATCTAAATTCTTTTATTCTTTTGAGAAAAGAATATAACTATATTAATTTAGAAAATGGATACATCATATAATACTAACGCCAAGTCTCATGTATTTACAAAGTAAAATGTAAATAAATACCGTACTCTACATTTGTGCGCGACTTTGTTGTTTATGAAACAAAGTTATTCATTAGAGATTTTCACCTTTATGAATCAAATTGTAATTCGAGCCTAAACATAAAAACAAATAAATAGTTCATAACTCAATTCTAGCTTATGTAATTAACATTTAGACCACATTTAAGATTACGATCCTCTTAAAGTTTAAATTTTTTATTGTTCAGAATCAATTTCCGGAAAATTCTGTGCATTAGTGTAACCTAAACTTATCGATCAAACTCCGTTATTAAATTTCTTTAATTACAATAATTTTTGTGAATTTCTTTAATGGTTACAATTAATTATGCCAAAAACATTAATTTTACAATGACATTCTCAGTTTTATTTGTGCATAACAACTCAAAATCGATCACAAACTGTAACATCACATGATATTATATTAATTGCTAATTTCGGCATATCATTAACTCGACAACTATTGTTATCTCGCAAATAGTCATTGATTGTACTTTTTTATTAGTTACTAAATAAAGAAGATTAATGAATAAAGTCGAGCAAATTGATTAACATTTTATTCCTAATTTACTTATATTTTCTGTTATTTTGTTGTGACGTGATTAGTGGTACGCAAATTAATGACAATAATATAAAAAGTTATGGAAAATCGGTTTTCATAGGTGTTCAATTAGTCGTAATTAATGATATAATTACGCCTTCACCATTAATCGTGATGTAACATAACCATTTTAACAGGGCTTAAAATCTGGTTAGTCAATGACTTGTAAAACAATAATAATAGTTTATGATAAATTTTTTTGTAAAACATTGATTATAGTTAAAAGAAACCATCTATACGTGTAAACTTAGCCACGGGAATGGAATTAATTAAATAATCTTGATAAAACTAATATGGAATTTAAAATCAAGAAAATATTCGAGTACGATATTGGACTTGTGATTATAGTTAGAAGTCGACATAATTACAATTATGAAATAGATGGATTCGGATCAAGATCTAACTAATAACGGTTTATGTAAAATGCACTAACAATTAGCTTACAATTTTATCAATTAATACACACGATTAAACATTGTTACGCACGAAAAAAAAGGCGTTGCATTAAAATTCCCTGTCCATAGGGCAGCTTAGAAAGGTCATGTAGCGAAAGACGTGCAGTACTCGAAATAGGCGTACGAATTATATTTTACCTAGTGATTTATTGTGAGATGCCTTTTGCAAGAACAAAATTCATTGCATTTATAGCTTTTACACATTTACTAAACCTACTATTTCTTCTATGCTATATGTGCCGTTTTGTTTGCCCATTATTAAATTTAAATTGAAGTCTAAGCAATCAGTTCAATTCTTCTCCATATTTGTTTTAATTTTTATTGAAGCGAAATAGAAGATTTGTACGATTGAAGCGTGGAGAAGTTTCGCTAATTAGTACTTTTATTGGTTTCACTACTAAATATACACTTATTGCCTTCATTAACTCATTTCAATCCTTTCGCTTTACAATTATGATGGTTCCGGCCACTATATGAACAATCTCCACAGTCTCCACGATAATATCTATACTTCGTCAGTTTTGGTATTTGCGGCTAGATCTACAAGTCATTCGGCTTATGTAAGCTTTACCAGACCAGCTCTTAAATACTATAGGGCAAAATTTTAATTAAATCCATAATTAAATACCATATTAAAAAGAATGATATAGAGTCTCTCGAGTCTCTCGCAGTATAGGAAACTAGTGTAATTTGATCATACTTTAAATGATTCGAGTCATTAAATTATGACAAGATCATTCAAGTAAGTATGAAATAATTTTATTGATCAAACGACTATTTGAATAATTTTGTTACATCTTTATTAATAAATGTTATTAAATGGCTACATATATAGCGATAGCACATTGCACGCACCCCAGTGAAAGGTGTCTCAACGTCAATAAGATGTTTATTTAAAGTGTAACGTGAAATTACGCTCTTTGCTTTTTTTTTTTTTTTAAAAAAAAATGCAGTAGCTCAAACTTTGCTGACGAAACAACTGCGTAAAAAAAAAAAAAAAAAATACTTGAAAATTTTGGTAAATACTAGATATTGCCGCATTCATAATCCCAACGTACCCAGTTTAGAATAGTAGTTCAAAAGAGTATTTTTTTTATTTGTAAAAGCTAAACAAGACCAGTTGAGACAAAATCCCACAATTGTCACTTACTAATTGCTTATGTTGCCGAACCACCTTCCGACCCTTCAAAATATTTACTTCTCATTTAGTTTCCTTAACTTTCGTATCTTACTGTATCTCTCATTAAAAAATAATAAGTTTAAAGGTGAAAAATCGGTTGCTTAAGTTTTTGTAATTTCAACATCATCTGAACTCTTCATGATGTTATTCTATTTTGTTCAGCATAAACATCGTCAGCATGAGGCCATTTTTCTGAATTAGAATCCATACGTTGTTTAGCAAATTCGATATAGCAACCTGGAGTTTCGGGAGCAAATTCAGGCCGTAATCCACAGCAAATTTTCACTACAAGTTTATCATAAAATTCGTAACCATCAAAGGTTCTTGTTTGGTTGACATCTCTGACATGATGAACGCCAAAGCCATAGATATCAGCAGCTTTAGTAAACTTTTGAACTGACAAGACCTTATAAATATTATCCATAAATATCACTATAGTCGATACTGTCTAAATTAGAGATGTGCGAATGCATATTTTTTTTGGCTCTGCAGCATAATGCAGCATGTGAAATTATTCAATCATGGTGTTCTACCAAAATCAAGAAGCAAGATTCATACACATTCTTTCTTATCTCTAGACAGTATTGTCAAACCTCATATTAGTTATACAGGTAGGAAATCACTAACTGATACTACATATCCCTTAGTATTACATATTGTATAAAATATAATATTTTATTAATTTTAGTTGCATTAAAGTTATTTAGTAATTTCTATGTGCACTTTTAAATTTTAAAATGTCTACATTACATTATGCGACATTATGTTTTGCATAATGCAGAATGCCCATCTCTAATCGCTACGCACATCAGAAGATTTTGATGATAAATGAATGCCTTATGTTCATCCCTTTCAACTCCAATTCAATTTTCATAACAATATCCAACTCCAGACACTTCATTAGAATTACCCATCTATACAGATTTTTGATAATAAATGAATGCCTTATGTTTATCCTTTTCAACACCAATTCCATTAAGATAGCAATATCCAGCATTATACGTTCCACCAGCATTCCCCATCTCTGCAGATTTTTGATAATAAATGAATGCCTTATGTCATCTTTTTCAACTCCAATTCCATTTACTATAAAATATCCAACACTATACGTCCTAAAAGCACTCCTCATCTTTGCAGATTTTTGAAAATAAACGGATGCCCTATGTTCATCCTTTTCAACTCAAATTCTATTAAGCTAACAATATTCAACATTATGTGTTGCAATAGCGCCCCATTTCTGCAGAGTTTTGATAACAAATGAATGCTTTATTTATTTATATTCTGTTTAATCCATTTACAAAAATAATAACAATTTGCAAGAACGTTTTGAGCCATAGGGTTAACTTTATCATTTAAGCAATAATTGGTAATGTTGTCCGGATTTTGCTATTTACTGCCAGAAATTGTTCTAGTATGTCAAAAATTGATGTGGTATTTTTGCTTCTCAATCTCTCTTCGTTATACAGATTATAGAATTCCGTTAAGAAAATCTTGTAACTTATCATCTTTTAAATGCAATTTGAGCCACTTTATAATTGACATTTTGACTCAAAGAATGTGTTACATATGGAATGCATCAAAGATATTGAGGATATGTATGTTTAACATTGCATAACGTTCTCATAGGAGGAAATTCGTATTACTATACGCATCCGCCGAAATACCCAAAATAAAATTATATTATGATCCTAATGTTTATAGCGATAAGATTTTATTAATGATAATTGTGAATATAGTCCAATAATTTTTTAATATTTATAATTTTCTTATCTATAAAATAAAATGGGGTTTGCTCTTATCTAGTGGGTTATATTTATATTGATCAGTGACGTTGGAATTAATTTGAAGTTATTTTGGGTTCAAATTTAAATTGTCTAATTTAATGTGAGGGACCAACGTAAGATTTGGAGTTTTCCCGGGACCCCAAAAGTGCAGACCACGCAATCTGAACCATTGCCACACCCACATTTCAATAACCAGTATATTACTTTATTGCATAAATCGGGTTAAGAAATTTTTACGCGTACAATAATAAAGCTGCATTCAGAAGTTAGACGATTCAACTATACCTGCTGCCGAAATCTTTCGACCATTTCGGCCAAATGGCAAATTTTTAAGGCAAAATTATCAATAATTTATAAATGTGGTAGAAATAAACCTTCATATATGTTAAGCCAGATTCGCAGAAAATTCATGCAAGACCTTTTGGGATTTCGGCAAGATCTTTGGTATTTCACCAGACTCTTGAAGTTTCGGCTGTAAATTAAGTATAGATTGTCGAAAATTCCAGAGTCTGCCGGAATACCAAAAGGTCTTCGGTGAAATTTCAAATTATTGATAACTTTGCTTTAAACATTTGCCACGTGGCTGAAAGATTTCAGTCACAATTTAGATTCAACCAGAAAATTATGCAGTTGTTGTGGTGTCTTATCATATGACCCGCACTTTTGGGGGTCGCCCTGGTGAATTTTAATATGTGAACAACTTATCGTTATTGATAAGCACCAATCATATCGAGTAATTTTATTTAAGGATCTGTTATGAATCCCAATTCCGTAAATCAGCGGATTTGCCGAAAGTATTTTCAGTCAGGAGATCATCTATAAAGCTAATTTGAGCGCATCCTTAGGTCTGTTATTTAAGTTCTCTGATCAATCCGAATATCTGAATTTATATGGATTGAGGGATCAATCCAGATGGTCGGATTTAGGATCGAAACATTAGATGATAATCATTCAGAAGGTGGTATTATTGTTCCAAAGATTCTATTGAAATATTGTTAAAATTTTCTTAAATACGAAACCGGATATAAAGATATAAATCCGATATGAATTTGATAAAAAAGATAGATAACGGTAACCGATTATTTTTTAAAAAAATATCCGGTTGGCAATTTGCAATCCGATTCCAACCTCTAATTTACGTGATGTGATTATCACTGGGTCAACTTTTCTTCAAGCGTACTAATAAGCTTCGTTATGTCTGTATTTAATAAACAAAGTGCCAGGCTTATATTGAACCAAATTTTAAGCAATTCTATGCTGAAATCTCATAGAATTTCTATAATATTTCAAGGTATATTGAATTGAAACATTGCATCTAAAACTTAAAAGTTGGCTTATTGTTTATAATTTGTCTAAATTAATGAATTTTAGGCCTTAGCCAGCTAAACTATCTGAGCCACCACAGAAATTGTGATAGCCAGTTAGTTAAGCCGATGTAAAACATTGCATGATAAATAGTATTCCAAGCCATACTTTATTAAAGAAAAAATTGCATAGGAGTAAGAAATTCTTTCAAAAATGAGTAACGAAGGTGAATCCTTACAAGCATCAAAGTTTGAAGATGAAGAGGAAAAAATTGAAATGGATCCTAAACCAACTAAACCACACAATGGCAAGAAAATAGAACAATTATTGTTATCACCTGATAGAAAGTATGCAGTGACAGTAAGCGAAGATTATGATTCAATGTGCGGATGGCAACTTAACAAAGATCAACCTGCAGAACCAACAGAAGACGAATCATATCAACCCATACTCTTTGAGTTTGTTGATTCCATCGATTTTAAAGAAGCACATAAAGTATATTTCGAATCAAAATATCCAACGGTATATGCAGTTTCAAATAATAAATCTGTTGTAATAGAAGACCGTCAGAGAATAATTGGTTAGTGAGCACATAGATAAAAATAATTGACAATATTCATAATACTTAAAATTAATCTTCAAAAAATTTATTTTTTTAAAGTTTTTAATCTGGACACCAAGAAGAAAGTAGACCTAAATTTAAAAGGAGATGTCTTTGATAAAATAATTAATTGTAAATTTTATTACAATGAAGATTTCATAATTAATAGATATATTAAACAAGAAAACTCTAATCTTATTTATAAATTTTCATTTAAAAATTCCCATAAGCAAAGTTGGATGATTAATAATTCAATTTGCTGTGGAAAACGTAAAGATGTAATGTGTTATTTAAGCAACAATAATAAGATAATGCTTTTTGATAGATGTGGGTCATTAACACAATGGAATTTTGATACATTATTATTTGAAAAACAATATCAATTACATATAGCCCATCATTATATGGACGAAATATGGTATAGTACTATGTTTCGTTGCGTTTTTAATGAAAACTCTACATTACTTGCAGTATGTTGTGATGCAGAAGAAATTATTATTTACATTTATTCGGCAGAAAATTCAATTCTTTTATCACAATCTAAGTTATTAAATTAGTGTGTCGCTGTTTGCAAAAAGGTGTTTATAAAATATGAATACCTTTTTGTATAACTATTAATATTTTGTGTTTATTAAATAAAGTCAGTGGTGTTTAACTATAGTTGATATTTGATGTACTAAGCAATAACTCTATAAACCTAAACTACGGTAATAAAATTTAAAATTTCTTGGTTTTCATAACACGAAACTTTTAAGTAGACCTAGCAACTTTTTTTAAATTCCAAATATTAAAATTTTATAAAATTTTTTTTAAAAAACCCATCGGTTATTAAAACATTTATAATTTTTAAAGTCTTTAAAATTTGACACGGCTGGGTTATAAAAACCATATTAATGAATTTTGCATGGCCTAAATTAATAATGGTAAAATTTTTTCTATAATATATGTATAGTATAAACATCACTGATTGATTCGCTATAATTCTACGTATTTATAATTATAATTAATTTATAGACCAAGGTAAAAGATTTCGGAATTTAGAATTGATTGAATTTATTTCAACTGATGAAGCAGAATGGTTACTCTTATTTTATCGCGATACATTTGATGTACGAGATCCTTACAATCTTCAACATAATGTCATCAACGATAAACCGATTTCAAGACTATATACAGAACTTTTAAGTGAAAAAGCTTTGACAAAATTAGATATTTCGAATGTACAAATTAAATCATTGATGAACGAAAGAATATATTGCATATCAGATGGATGCTTATGGGCTCAAGAGGTTTCTAAAAACCAATGGATCAAATACTTACAAGAAAAATTACAAGATTTTGATAAAATAAGAGTTCTACCTAACAAACATCAAATAGAGGAAATTCTAAAAAAGCTTATAAATAAAAATAAAGATAATGAGTCTATTAGTAAGATGGAGAAGACAAAATAATATAAAGGATCAATAGTAAAATGGGAAGTAAACGGCAATGAAAATGAAATAAAAGCTTTGAAATTTAATTCAAATACTTGGGAATATATAGATAATATAAAACTAAATTATTTTTCTTTGCAATATGTTGAAAAAAATATAATAAATGATTGGTCAATATACATAGAGTTTTATAGTTGTGATTTGTTATATAATGATGATTTAGTAGTAATTACAAATACTGGCTTATTTATATGGTCAGTTTGGCAAAAAGATAAAATTAGATTACTATATTATATAACTAACATAATTGACATGAATTTTGAGAATTATGAAAAATGGTGGGGAATAAGAAGTAATTTAGGGCTTAAAAATTTATTGGATAAAATACAAAATGGTAAAACTTTATTGCCAGCACCGGACTTAGATTTTTTTATTTATTATGAACAATCAAATCATTTTTTATCTGAAGGTAATAAGAGTATTTCTTTTAAAGACATTTTAGATGAATTATTGAATGATTATATTGAAGATAATACATTAATGAAATTATATGGACAAGAACTTCTAAAGTGTTTTATAAAATTTCAACGCTATTCATTAGTAGAGAGATTATATGATAGAATATGCAATGAAACAAACTTAACATTAATGAAGTTACATGGGGCAGAATTTCTAAAAAGTTTTTTAAAGCCTCAATATTATTCATTAGCTGAGAAATTATGTAACAAAATATTTAAAGAAACAGAAAAGGATGACTTTTCAAAAAAAATTCAATTATTATATATTTTTACCCTTACATTTAAAGAATTATTACAATTTTCTCAATTATTAAAAAAATTTTTATCTTATACTTTATTTATTCATTTAGCTGATAAGTGTAAAGAAATTAAATTTAACAAATTTTTAAAACTGCATTTTCAAAGTTATATAAAATATACACAACCCTCATCTAATAGTAATATTAAAGAAAAAATTAAACAACCATTTATCTTTTTAATTTCTAAAATTTCTTCTTATATTCCAGTAAAGATGCAACAAATTATAAAAAAAATACAAATAATAATAGAACAAATGTTTTATAAAGATTTTCAATATGTAGTTTTAATTTTTCCATTACCAAAGTTTAGTTCTTATCCTGTAGACTATAATCATTTAGAATTGATTTCTCCTAAACCTAATCTTTTTTCTAAACATCTATTTTCTGAACTTATAAATATTGGTGTGGTGAAGCTCTTCTTAACTTCAAGTGAAATACATATGGAAAATATTATTTTTTTGCTATTTTTGTCTTTTATCTTATTTTTATGTTTAGTTTTCTGATAGTTGCTACAATTGAGTGATTATCAAATTATATTCAAAATTTACTATTGATAACAAATATAATTTTTGAAGTTTTACATCTTACCGACAATTTATTTTTTCTCCTTTGGACTGGATTACTGAAATTTGGAATTATTTTGGTATATTTTTAATTTTAATTATTTATTTGTTTAATTTGTATATACTTCTATTTAATTAATAATATTATACTTTAAGATGTAGGAGCAATATTATTTCCTGTATTAACTTCTATTGATTGGTTGCAATCTTCTACTATTCCTACTTGGGCTATTACAATTTCTATATTATTACTTGAACTTAAATTTATAACATTTTTCCGTGCTATTGAATTTGGTGGTACCTATTGTGCAATGATTATTGGAGTTATCAAATATTCATTACCATTTTTTGTAATTATTGGATTTATCATGTTCGCTTTTGAACATTCTTTACATGTTTTATTAAGACCAAAAAACAATATTTTAAATAATCCAAATAATTCAAAAGACTCAAGCACAAATATGTTTACAAGTTTAGATACGGCATACTTGGCTGTATATATGATGTTAACAGGTATTTTTTAATTATTTTTTTAACAATTATCATTATACTTATTTATACTTATTTATAATACATATTTATAACTGCATATTTAATTGCTTATAGGCGATTCATCTTATTTGTCAAATTGGTCATTAACAGAAAATTTAACATTAACGTTCTTAGTAATTCTTTTTTCTTTTTTTACAACAATCTATTTAATGAACTTGTTTATTGGGTTGTTGTCTGATTTTATTAGTCAAACCAACAAAAAAGAATTATTTTTGTTTCAAAGAGCAAAGGTAGCATTTTGGTTAAAGCATTTGTTCATTATTTTTGCTTTAAAATTATAACAATTCTTATTTTCCTCAACAGATCATATCAGAAATAGAACTTCTTTATATGTTACCATACCAACGAAGAAAATATAATTGGTTTCCTGAGTACTTGTAAGGATTAATTCATTATAATTTATTATAACAAATTTGTTAATTTTAATATTAATTAATGTTTAAAGATTTTACAAGTTTAGTCTTGATGAACTGTATAATATAGTTACTAAGATACAAAATGATAAATGGGATGATGATACTATTGAAGCACCATTTCTTCCTAATTCGCTATTAAAAATGCTTGGTAAAGCTGAATTGACGCCAGAACCTAAAGCTGAATTGACGCCAAAACTAGTTGTTGAAAAAGAAGTATTTCAAAAATTAGAGGAAAGTGAAAAATTAATTCAGGAATTAAAAAATATTTTTGAAATAAAGATTGAATAAAAAAAAATTAACAACACGGCTAAAGCTGGAATTGGCTGAATTTGGAAAATTTATTTTATAGCTGGTTAGAATTTATTTAGGGTTAGTTTTGATACCGGCAAGGTTCTGCTTTTAAATTGAGGGTTTAATTTCCATCTTTAGTTATTTCCAGCTTTAGCCCAATAAATTATCTTTAAAAATATTGATTAAAATGTTATTGAGAGTTTGAGTCGCATTAGTGTCTACATACTAGCCCAGTGCCCATAACCTCCTATTTTAAAATGAATTACAGTAAAAAATGAAATTATATTAAGTGTTTAAAGTTGGTTAGTGATTTCAACATTGTCTAATTTATTGAAATCAACATTAGACGAGTTCATGATTTCAAGTGTGGGTGGATTCATAATTTAGTGATATTCAACCACGATTTGAGTAATAGATACCACGATTTGTGTAGTAGATAGGTTAATGATTCAACGGCAGGCGGTTTAGGATTTTAGTCGTGTAAGTTCATGATTTCAGTAACGACTTCAATAGCGGGTGTTCATCGTTTCAGCAGTGCAGATTTGTGCGTAGGTTCGTGACTTAGTCCGTGATTTAATAGTAACAGGTTCGTGGCTTCAATAATTGATGCGTTTGCAATTTTTAACATATGTGCGAATATTTTAATGAAATTTATCTGTCTGCTGTGTCAAATATTTAGCTATTTGATTAAATCTAATGTGAATCAAGACAATTTAGAGCTATGCCTCTGGCAAAAGTTATATGCTAGTCTTGTTGATTTTCACATTACATTTAATCTTAGATACAATTCACACATTGCAGAAATCGTTTTGTAATTAACCACTAACATCCGAATTAACCAATTAATACCTACCCGTAATATTATGCGCTCACTAACACTAAACTTCGGCAGCGAAGCCGCTACATGATCAAGCTCTAGTTTAATTACGTTTTTTTGTGAATTTCTTTAATGAAACATTGACTTTACAATGACATTCTCAGTTTTGTTTGTATAAACAATTCAAAATCGATCACAAACTGTAACACCACATGATATTATATTAATTACTAATTTCTTATATCATTAACTATACAACTTTTGTTATCGCGCAAATATTCACTAATAGTACTTTATTATTAGTTTTCTAAATGAAGTTGTAATAAATAAAGTCGAGCAAATTGATTAACATTTTATTCTTAATTTATTTTATATTTTCAGTTATTTTTTGTGTGATTAGTGGTGCGCAAATTAATAACAATAATATAATGTTTTCAATTAGTCGTAATTAATGATATAATTACACAATAATTACTTGTTGCATGATAAAGTTGTTTGCAGAACGATGATTTATAGTTATAAGAAACCATCTATACGTGTAAACTTAGACACGGGAATGGATTCAATTAAATAATTTTGATAACACTAATTTGGTATTTAAAATCAAGAAAATTTTCGAGTATGATGTTGGACTTGTGACTATAGTTAGAAGTTGGCAATTATTACAATTTGCTTTAAAATTTTCCATCCATAGACCAGCCTAGAAAGGTCATGTAACGAAAAATGTGCATTACTCAAAGTAAGCGTACGACTTAGGTAAATATTTTTATCTAATGATTTATTGTGAGATGCCTTTTGTAAAAACAGAATTCATTGAATTCATTACTTTTATAGCTTTTATACATTATTAAATCAATTATTTCTATTATGTTATATGCGCCATTTATGCTATTTTTTTTTTTGCCCATTATTACTAACTGGTGAGGAATTAACCTGATTGCTCGGGCTTCAATTTAAATATAACTTTTTTGAAGCGAAATAGGAATTTGGTATGTTTGTGGTGTGGTGAAGTTTCGCTAATTAGTAATATTCCATAGGCTTCACTACTCAATATACACTTTTTGTCTTCATTAAGTCATTTCACTCCTTTTACTTTACAA